CATTGTAAGGAAGGGGGGGAGATATTCACCTGTTTATGATCAAGTATACTCCGAATTGTAAGGAAGGGGGGAGATATTCACCTGTTTATAATCAAGTTTACTCCGAATTGTAAGGAAGGGGGGAGATATTCACCTGATTCTGTTTATGATCAAGTATACTCCGCATTGTAAGGAAGGGGGGGAGATATTCACCTGTTTATAATCAAGTATACTCCGCATTGTAAGGAAGGGGGGGATATTCACCTGTTTATAATCAAGTATACTCCGCATTGTAAGGAAAGAGGGGGGATATTCACCTGTTTATAATCAAGTATACTCCGCATTGTAAGTAAGGGGGGGGGATATTCACCTGTTTATGATCAAGTATACTCCGTTGGTAAGGGAAGTATGAATAATGAGATTGGTACATGACCTCACCGCAGCTCATAACTCTCTTCAACAACCACAAAATTATTATTTTGCCAAAAAATCTGAGAATTTTTTTCATCTTCAGAAAATTAAGTTAAGCAGTTTTTGTTAAGTCCTGCTTAAAAAAACGGTCATTAGAAAAATGACTGAAGAATTTGTTTTATATTCTTCTTAAATCTATATAATAAAACAAGACATTCATTTATATGTTGCGTATGGTCGGCCAAACGGCTGGACCGATTGGGCTGAAATTTTTTGTGGACACTCATGGGTGGCCGAGGGATGTTATAGGCTAAAAATATCACAAAAAAATTTCTAAAATTTTTTTTATTTTTTTTCACGGGCAACGCAGGGCCCTTCAGTTAGTATTTAGATAATTCAGAATATGGTAAACGTTTCTTGGGCACAATTTTTCAAATGAAAAGCAAAGAAGTAAATATTTTTGTAAGATTTGATAAAAAACGAAGAAAGATGACTTGTTTGATAAAAAAATCATGAATTTGAAGGAATTGAGATTTTGACACTTACTTAAATTTTCTAATTCCTATGTTTATGATGGTCTAAACCTTTTCAAACTCAGATTATTTGATTTAACGGATCTAAGGTCTACGACATCGGATTGGAAAGATGCAGGGATTAGATATGTGACAAAAACTCAATTCCTGACCCAATAAATATTTTCCTCCATAGAAACATAAAAATAATTTGATTATCTCCTTTACTTGTTTTTAGTAACTTTAGGAGGATTTTTTAGAATCTTATAGGCTAAAATATTTTGCACTTCCCTCATGAAGTTGATCACTTTTCACTTACAAACAAAGTGTCTAAAAACACTCAAGTCACTTGTTGTCACTTGTGACCTTGACACTTATTATTACTAAGGTCTGATTATGTTTAGTGTTTACAGGGTATGCTGAGTATGCTATAGTGTATGCTGAGTATGGTATGCTGCTGTATAGATCCCAGTATAGAACTCGGCATACCTTTCTACATAGTTTTCATTCGCTAGTTGACAATAGGAAACTGTAGGAGATATAAACCCGGCCAGTAGACCTGCACACCTGTACCGGGCTGACAGGGTCACGTGACATCACCCGCCTCCCCCTGGAGTAGTCAGCGGCCAACCATATGGTTTTTCGTAACGTCCCAAACCAGCGGCGCCGGATTTGACCAATCACAGAGGAGATGGTTTTGGCGGATTTATCTGAGACTAAGTGTACACTGTACACAGCTACAATTTTCTCTCTCTCTCTCTATATATATATATTTCCCTTCTCTTCTCATATTGTTAAATATCCCTGCACCTACCCGATCCTCTCTCTCATCATTTTAATTTTCTTATTTCTCTTTTAATACTCTTAAACTCAGTTTCTTGGATCTAAATCATTTATTCTCTTTTACGAGTCTGTATACGTTCAGAAGAATTCATTTTAATGAATTCAAAATATTTCAAGAACTTTGCTGACAGAAATTCTCTCAGAAATCCGTGAAAACATCTCGATTTTCACCTCGAACAATTATTCAACATGTTTCCTTATTTTTGTTATTTAGATTACTTTTAATATTGCAGAATTTTTATTTATGAATTTTAGAGAGAAAAAATATAAAAAATATGAAAATATATTTATTGCATTCCAAGTTTAGCTGCAAACATCAACTACAATATTTAGGTTCAAATATATATTTTTTTATTGTTAAAAGGTGGTTTATTGCATAACTATATCTGTTATCCTTTTTTCCTTGTTTAAGTCTTTTGTATTAATGCCGCTGCTAAACATTTTAAAATAGAAAACAATAAAAATGAAGAATTAATAAATCAAAATTTATTAATCGCCACCAATTTTTGTCCTTTGCAACCTTGATAAATAAAAGGTCTGCAGCTTCAGGTTACAAAGATATAAGGATTTCTTCTGAAAATTTAAACCGCTCCTTTGGTTCCTTTCCTTCCTCTCCTCCCCATCATCCCTCCCCACCTCCTTTATATCCCCTTCCCTCTCCACTTGAACACAATTTAAAAAGACTGTACACATGTAATTTCAAGTTACTCTTCATGATCCTCAACGGGTTATCTTTAAAATCTTTGTTCAATGAAAAAAAATCTTTAAAACTGTTTTATAACAATAACTCGTGGATTCATAAAACACAAAATGATGACGTTTTTCATTACAATAAAGGATAATCTATATATTTAAAATTAAACGTACTAAGTCTTCGCCATGAACTCAAATGTTCTAATCCCTATATCTTTGCAACCTGATGGTGAAAACTTAGATTAATTGACTTTACAAACTGTATGGGTTGAAATATCAAGGTCTACCACGTTGGGTTGCAAAGATATAGGGATTAGAAAATCAGAGTTTGGAGCATTTGTGCTGCAACTTTATTTTGCATTGCATGACTTGCATTTTACGATTTATTATTATTTGACCTATAAGAAATATAAGAAATATAAGAAATATAAGAAATATAAGAAATATAAGAATTATAAGAAATATAAGAAATATAAGAAATAAATCGGATATTTTTTTCAAATGTTTTTAAATATTTTCCTAAAATAGTTAAAAGCTTCCCATTTAATTTCCAATTTGAAAAACAATGGCCGGGATTGGTGTGGGAAGAGAGAGCAAGTATTCAAGATCCTAGAGCAAAGAATTCGAAAATTCTCCTTTACCCTTAATTGACATATAGGTTTTATGGTAAAGGGAAATATGTAGCATTTTTTTCTTGATTTCTGCAATAGTAGAAAACCATCGAAAATGATGTTTTTTTCTTAAAATTTAGATTTCTGGTTTTTTGGGTCGCGAAAATTTTATAATCGACTTTTTTCGGTAAATACTTCTATTGGTTTTGAAAAATATGTTTTTCTTTGTCAAGTTTTCTTTATTCTTAATATAAAGAAAACAAATGTATTTTTGTATTGAACATGTATTGTCTCTTAAGGCTAGAATAAACCTTCTTACTTTACAAAAAAATCTGATGCTTTAATTCTTTCAGCGTTTTGCGGGGAATATGTTGGATAGATAGATAGATAGATAGACGGACAGATATATAGACGAATATATACATATAGACAGATATATAGGCATTCGATTCATTTACTACTTTTAACCTCGATTTATGGCCTTTTACATAACAAATATTGCGACATTTATCTATTCATGACAAAAATTTAAAAGTTTTGAAAGAATTAAGGGGTAAACACGTATATTCATTTTATATCCTTTTTTTTGTTCTAATCATAATTTTGCTTGCATCTGTTTTTACAAAGGAATTAAATTAAAATTATGCCGGTCAATGTGTTCCTGAGTTATGATCGAACATCCAAACAAGCCGACAGACAGACGATCAGAGATTACTGCTTCTATATATAAAACTTTGCTTGGGTGTCTTGGTGTCTGTTTGTTTGTATCAAATAAACGTACGTCAAAACGGCTCTACCGATAGGGCCCAAATTTTGTGTGGGACATCACATAACTTCAGGGAAGGTTTATGAATGATCAAAATTAAAAAATTTGCCTCCAACAAAATTTGATTTTCAATAAATTTTGAAAATCCACGACATTTTTTTTATAAATTCGCGAACTTCTTTATTTTTTTTTGTTTTACAATGTATATAAAGAGAAAATGTTCACAATTGAAATAGGACATAGGCACGAAGCGCCCTGAGAGCCTAGTTATTTATATAAAGATAAGATGAAACGGAAACAATGGACTGAAATCCTCGAAAATTTGCTTCAAAAAATCCTCTAAATATGTAGTGTACACTAGAAGCTTGAAGACGGAGGGCCGGGTAAAGATATTGTTGGATAAGAACCAGTATCAAGGTATATCTGGGTATCTGGGTTTAGTATCTGTGTATCTGTGTATCGGATCTATTTAGAAGCGGTGGCTCTGTACCTAGAAACCACAAAGTATGAACGAAAGAGTTTTCAGAGGGTTATATGAATTTTTAACACTTACGGAAAATCAAAATGCATAAATATTATCATAAACATGCTATGAACAAGGAAAAATGTATTGACTAAGCTAATAAAAACTGTAAACTGTGGTAAAATTCAGTTATAACCAGAAAATTCTAAGAAAGAAAGATACTTTTTATCAGTACTTATTTGCATTTGATGTTGTTATTTGCTAGCTGTTACTTTTTTTAAGAGTACAATTTTTGCGGTTTCTGTCGGAGATTTTTAAAATTGGAATTAACTTAATCCGCCGAAGGGTTCAACATCTTAAAAGCAGGGGTCCATATAATTCCATCTGATCAATCCCAAATGTTGATTGATTGATATTAGGGGCAGAAATAGACCATATTGTTTTTGTAAACAATTGAAAGTATAATGTCAAGTTGTAGAAAAAATAACTTACTGCACATAGAGTGAAGAGGTGAAGCTTTGCTAAGATGTACACAACCGACCTCCCTATTAATTAATTAATAGAGTGGTCGGTTGTGTACATCACGATATGTTTACGTATCTAACACTCTACACTTGTATATAGAGGAGTGATCGTATTTCTAAGGGGTTCTAAGCGTCACCTCTTCGTTTTATTACTCTATGATGCTGCAGAATGTTTACTGCAACTTTGCAAGGGAGAGTTTATTTTTCTGTATATCATAATTTATCTCTTATATTACTTATATTAAATACTAATATTTACACCCCAAATGCAGTACACATTTCTGAAGTGTAGTACACGTACACAAAAACTTGTCAAAGTTCACAATGACATATAAAGTGTACTTTCATGCCCCTAAATGTACTTTTAACCCCGATTCCATTTGGGATTAGATATGGAATTATATGGATCCCTGCTCAAAAGTTCTAACCTCAGTATTATTACTAACATATTATTAAAGCCCGAACTCCGTAACAATTTATATTCTATGTTCAAAGTTCTATTATGCTCTGTGTGTCCGTTTACTCAACCTTATATAGAAACAATAACCATCTTCGCAACCTTTGACAAAATAATAGGAATGCTCACGATTTTCTTTTTGTTTTTAGATTCAAGTTTTCGGTTATTTGAAAAAGTAATCCTTGAAAAATTAACATAAAGTTGATCTATATATATACTTTGCTAGACCTCACATGACCCCAGGGAAGTTTCGTGGATGGATGCTCAAAAATACAAAAATTTGTGTCCCAACGTTTTTGATTTTTGTAAAATTTTGGAAATGCGCTAAAAAAATTTTATTAAGCCCACAAACCTTTTGTTTGTTATTTATTGTTTTATATTTTATTGTTTTATATATTACAAAGAGAAGATGTCTAGTCTTATAAAATTATGTCGAATAATCTTTTGAATTAGCAATTATACAAAAGAAAATCTGTACTTTTTAATAAACAAAGACTAATTTTGGAAATGGTCTTGATCCAGTTACGGAGAACGCTGTTTTATTTTTAATCGTCAATATTTAGAAAATTGTTCAGAGCTGAAAACTTTAGAATGGGATATCCTTAATCCCGATCGGTTAATTAATTTGGAGATTAATAACAAGAGGAGAACAAGCATTATTTAATCTCGAGATTAAGAAAAAGAGTGGATCAAGCATTAATCCCGATATCCACCATTCAAAAGTTCCCAGCTCAGGTTGGTAAATAAATCGATTAAAATAAAGAAAAAAAAAACAGAAAATTAGGAACTACCAGCTGAAGATCCAGGCGTTGCCCGTTGAAAAACAACATTTGAAGAAGAAAAAAAATCGAATTTTTTAGCCTACGACACCCCCAGGCCACCTATGAGTGTCCACATAAAAATTCAGCCCAATCGGTCCAACCGTTTGGCCGGCTATACGCAACATATATATTAACGAATGTCTTGTTTTATTATATACATAGATTAGATCCTTGTTTATGAACTATCAAGACTGTTTTATTATATACATAGATTAGATCCTTGTTTATGAACTATCAAGACTGTTTTATTATATACATATATTAGATCCTTGTTTATGAACTATCAAGACTGTTTTATTATATACATTAGATCCTTGTTTATGAACTATCAAGACTGTTTTATTATATACATATATTAGATCCTTGTTTATGAACTATCAAGACTGTTTTTTTTATTAATATCAAACGTACTTGAAGACTATTCCTAAAACCGCCCTTGCTAGAGTCGTCTTCGAACTGTTTTGCCCTTTGAGACAGTCTGTATGTATTCGGTATTTATTAAGGTAAATCATCAAAACTTTGCATAAAATATATAAACTTTTATTACCGGAATAATATCGAATCAAACTATAGCTAAAATTTATAAAAAAAAATGGTGGTTCTAAATTATGCAATTCCAAGTTTGCTGAAGTATATAAAATAGGAAAAATTTATCTAAAGCAAGATATGAATTGCAGTACAAAAAAGTCTAATGTAAAAAAGATAAACAATTGTGCACGTATTCACTTTGCAAACAAAACATTTTACTATTTGATGTTCAATCAAATAATAATTTTAATTTACTTAGCTAATGCATGCTTTCAAAATTAATTTTACAACTTTTTAATAAGAAGAAATGGGAACGAATATGTCAGAAGGATCATACAGTATTATTTGTTGAACTCCTTCTCAGGCTTAAAGGGACTAAACAAGTTGATACCAAGGAATAGATTTATTTCCCCTCTATTTTAATCTCTGTTCTGTGGGAAAATGTTTTTACTAGGAATGAGAAAATCTTTTCGACTTTTCACGTCATTTTATTGCTAAAAGATTAAAAATCATGACGATTTAAACAAAATTTAGGGATTGTGTATTTTTATAAGTATTTCTATATACTTTTGCATTAATTGAAAGGTAACCGTACGTAAAGGTTTAAACCTAACCGTATAGGATTATACCTGGCCCGTATAGGTTGAAACCTAAACGAATAGGTTGAGACCTAATTGTTTTGGAAGAAAACGTTTTAACCTGGCCCGAATAGGTTAAAACCTGTCCGTATTGGTTGAATACTAACAGTAAAGGTCGAAACCTAACAGTATAGATTGAAAACTAACTTTATAGGTTGAAACCTGGCCCAAATAGGTTGCAACTTAACCGTATATGTTGATTCCTAATATTAAAGCTCGAACACTAGCATTAAAGACTTAGAACTATCTTCATAGGTTGAAACCTAACCTATAGGTTAAATAGTATCCACATAGGTTGAAACCTAACCTATAGGTTGAATAGTATCCATAGGTTGAAACCTAACCTATAGGTTGAATAGTAACCACATAGGTTGAAACCTAACTGTAAAGGTTAAAACCTAACCGTATTGGTTGAAACCTAACCACATGGTGTAAACCTAAGGTTAAAGATCTAAACCTAACAGTAAATGTTTAAACCTAGCTGTAAAGGTTAAAACCTAACAGAAAAGATTTAAATCTAACTGTAAACGTTGAAACCTAACAGTAAAGGTTTAAATCTATAACTGTAAAGGTTAAAACCTAACAGTAAAGGTTTAAATCTAACTGTAAAGGTTAAAACCTAACAGTAAAGGTCTAAATCTAACTGTAAAGGTTGAAACTTGACAGTAACGGTCGAAACCTAACAATATAGATTACAAACTAACTTTATAGGTTGAAACCTGGCCCAAATAAGATGCAACCTAACCGTATATGCTGATTCCAAATCTTTAAGGTCAAAAACTAACATTAAAGGCTTAAACCTATCCACATAGGTTGAAACCAAATCATATTGGTTTAAACCTAACAGTAAAGGTTTAATCCTAACCGTATAGGTTTAAACCTAACTACCAGTTTAAAGCCTAACAGTAAAAGTTTAAATCTAACAGTAAATGTTTAAATCTAGCAGTAAAGGTTTAAACCTAACAGTAAAGGTTTAAACCTAACAGTAAAGGTTTAAATCTAACAGTAAATGTTTAAACCTAACAGTAAATGTTTAAACCTAGCAGTAAATGTTTAAACCTAACAGTAAATGTTTAAATCTAACAGTAAATGTTTAAATCCAACAGTAAATGTTTAAATCTAACAGTAAAGGTTTAAATCTAACAGTAAAGTTTAAACCTAACAGTAAAGGTTTAAACCTAACAGTAAATGCTTAAATCTAACAGTAAAGGTTTAAATCTAACAGTAAATGTTTAAACCTAACAGTAAAGGTTTAAATCTAACAGTAAAGGTTTAAATCTAACAGTAAAGGTTTAAATCTAACAATAAATGTTGAAATCTAACAGTAAAGGTTTAAACCTAATAGTAAAGGTTTAAACCTAGCAGTAAATGTTTAAGCCTAACAGTAAATGTTTAAACCTAATAGTAAAGGTTTAAACCTAGCAGTAAATGTTAAAACCTAACAGTAAATGTTTAAATCTAACAGTAAAGGTTTAAACCTAACAGTAAATATTAAAACCTAACAGTAAAGGTTTAAACCTAACAGTAAAGGTTTTAATCTAACAGTAAAGGTTTAAATCTAACAGTAAAGGTTTAAATCTAACAGTAAATGTTTAAATCTAACAGTAAAGGTTTAAATCTAACAGTAAATGTTTAAACCTAGCAGTAAATGTTTAAATCTAACAGTAAATGTTTAAACCTAATAGTAAAGGTTTAAACCTAGCAGTAAATATTTAAGCCTAACATTAAATGTTTAAACCTAATAGTAAAGGTTTAAACCAAGCAGTAAATGTTAAAACCTAACAGTAAATGTTTAAATCTAACAGTAAAGGTTTAAACCTAACAGTAAATGTTAAAACCTAACAGTAAAGGTTTAAACCTAACAGTAAAGGTTTAAATCTAACAGTAAAGGTTT